TCAGGTCATTCGGATGATGTTTGATAGGTTTTTGGATCGGTTGCGGAATCGAAAGTTTGGAAATCCTTAGGGAATCCGAGGGTGATTTGGTGTTTCGACGTGGTTTTGAGTGTTCCGAGGGTTGGTATGAGTTTGAATGATGATATGTGACTTGTTCTTATTTTTGGTTGAGGTCCCGGCGGCCACGGGATGAATTCGGAAGGTTGTCGGAAAGATTGGAATTGTAATTGAGCAGCTTCAGCTGCTGGTTTCTGTCATAACCGCACCTGCGGATTGGGGACCGCAGGTGCGCGGAGGAGACCGCAAACGCGGAAGTTGTCCCTCAGGGGAAGAACCGCAGGTGCGGTGTGTTGGGCGCAGATGCGACCCTGAGGAATTAATGAAAAACCGCAGATGCGGTTATTTTGACTGCAGATACGGTCCGCAGAAGCGAGAAAAGGAGCCGCAGGTGCGGGATCCCTGGGCAGAACATATAAATTCTTGCCTTCGCGAAATTTGGTCATTTTTCCACCATTTGTGTTCGGAGTTGGAGCTTTTTGAGAGGAATTGAAGAGGGATTCGAGGGGTAACACTTGGAGGTAAGGTTTTGAACTCAATACTCGATTCTATGGTGATTTCTAACTGATTAGACATAAAATTAGTGGAATTTAAGGGTTAAAATTGGAGTATTAGGGCTTGTAATTGGAGAGTTTAAATTGGGGATTTGAGGGGCCATTTTAGGTCCGATTTTGGTGATTTTGGTATGTATAGACTCGTGAGGGGATAAGGATTCTAGTGTTGTAATTTTTATCGAATTCCGAGACATGGGCCCGGAGGTCGAGTTTTGACCAATTTCGAGATTTTGAGTTTAGTTTGATATTTTTCGTGTGGGCTTTGTCCCATTAGCTTGCATTGATGTTATGATTCTGATTTTGGATGGATTCTGGATGATTTGAGGCCGAGTCGAGAGGCAAGGGCATTGCGGAGTAGATTTTCATCCGGTTTGAGGTAAGTAACGATTGTAAATCTAGACCTGAGGGTATGAAACTCCGGAATTTCGTACTGTTTTGATAAAATGAGGTGACGCACATGCTAGGTGACGGGCGTGTGGGTGTGCATCAGTAGGGATTGTGACTTGGTCCGTCCCATAGCAATTGTAGAGTTGCATATTTTAATAAACTCTATATGATATCTATGTGTTTTAGAAATGAATCTGTCAACTTGGGCTGAATGCCATGTTTGGGGCCTTGTGCCGAACTGTTTGGACCCTCAGGGGTATTTTACTACTATCCTCACACTGTTTTTATTCGAAAGCATATCCTTAGTCATGATTTTTACCTGTTTATTGTTTGATTCGGTTTCATTACTCTACTTTTAAATATATGAAAACTGTTTGGGCTGAGTTACCTGATTTTCACTGAAATGCCCGAGTGGCTGTGAGGTTGATGACTGAGAGAGGTCGAGGACCTGATGGTGAGGATTATATATCTATTCATAGATCGGGCTACACGCCGCAGCGATATTTATATGTATATGGATCGGGCTGCACGCCGCAGTGATATGTATTGGATTGGGCTGCACGCCGTAACGATATAGCGCTTGGGCTGTAGGAGCCCCTCCGGAGTCTGCACACCCCCAGTGAGCGCAGTCGACTATATATTTACGGATCGGGCTGCACGCCGCAACGGTTATTATTATGAGATATCTATTGAGCGGGAGTGCTGAGTGTGAGTGCTGATTGATGAGAGTTGAGTCACGAGTAACTGAGAGGCTTGCCCGAGAGGCTATATATATATGAGTGATACTTTGCCCGAGGGGCTTGTTTATGAACTTACTTTTTCCATCCTTCTTTTATGCTGAGCCTCTATTGAAAAATGTTGAATAAATGTTTTAATTAACTTTCATTGAAACTGGAGTTTTTACGAGTTGTTCGGAAATTGAACTACAGATTTGACTTTGATATTTCTATTGAGATTCTATGTTAGATTACGTATATGATTTAAATGCTCGTCACTGCACTCAGCCTTTATTTACTTTGGTTACTTACTGAGTTGGCGTACTCACGTTACTCCATGCACTTTGTGTGCAGATCCAGGTGCCAGAGCATCCGAGTGAGAGCATTCAGCAGCTTCTGAGTATTTTCGGAGATAGCAAGGTAGCTGCACGGCATTCGTAGCCCTGCCTTTCTCCTTCCTATCCTTAGTGTTATTTATTTTAGTCTTTTCTTGTATTGAGTAGACAGTATTGGACAGTACCTTAGTGGCTCATGACTACTGACACCAGGGTCGGGCAGTGTGGATGTATTTGTGTATTTGTTTTTCGCGTATTTTGTTATATAAATATGAAAGACTTGTGATCATAACCGATTTGGAAATGAATTTACAAAAGACCTTTATGTTATTAGTGTTGAATCGGCTTGCCTAGTACCATGATAGGCGCCATCACGACCGGGGTGGTTTGGGATCGTGACATCCTCAGAGCAAGATAGTTATACAAATCGGGGTTCTTCAAGATGACAAAGGGAATTTTTAAGAAGAAATATATATCTAATTTAGAACAGAACTAGTGAAATTCTCCACGCTTCCCGCGGTTGTACTCAGATAATCTTATAAATAATATTTTTTGTATTTAGTTCACATAATATATATAAATTGATTATATACTTTTAAAATTTCAATCAAATTCATATATGGATACATTAGAGAAGAGATGATGAGAAAAAGTATTTTGAAACTTCTAGAGAGAAAGAAAAAAATATCACGATAAATTCTCTAGCATTTCATTACGTCTATATATTATTTATTGTAATATAATAATAATAATAATAATAATAATAACAGTTATTAACTTTTTATTTAGACTCTTACATTTTAATGAGGATAAAACTTTGCATCACTTGTTAGACCTGCAATAAAAATCTAGGCTTCAACACAAGTTGGAGTTAAATATATCAATATTTTAGATGAATCACACTCAGAAAATTACCTTGGGTAATAGACATATATAGAAAACAAAATGAAGATAATAAAGTTTTTCCCTGAAATAGAGTAGTCTAAAATTCAAGTGCAAGAAAATATGCAACGACAACAATTTTCTTAGTATATATCCATTGTTCCCAAGATAGCTACATCAAGATTTCTTCAAACTGAAAAATATGTTCTCACGATTCCGTAGACATATCATAAAAAATTATATTACCACTTACAGCGCTATTGCAGAAAAAGAAAAAAAATAGGTTAATTCATTATAGAGAAAGTATTAATTCAATGTATAAGCACTACCTTGGCGCAATCTTTGCATTTTCAAATCGTCACAACTTATCTCTTCATTGCGCAACTGCTAGTAGGTTTGAGAAGTTGACTTTTGGAGTTTTTAAACGAAATGGTTTAAAGAGTACAATAAAGTGGGCAATCAAAGAGACTCAATCCATTATTGAGCTAATTTACTTAAATAAAAATAAGAGAAAAAAGCAAAAAAAAAAAAAAAAAAAGAGAAAAAAGATAAATAGGATCCTTGGCCAAAGAGAAGTGCCAAGTCACCTTGTCTATTCCCACTTTTATATAGATATATAGATATAGATGCATGTTTACCCCTTTTAGTAGGAAGAAATTTAAAAATAGTCAGATTTTCAAGTGGTTATTCAAAAATAGCCACAGTTTCAAAAGTAATCGAAATTTAGTCATTTTTCATGTAAAGATAAATCTGAACGAAAACACTGTTCAAAATCCGGAAGATACTCCTGCATAGTATACTGGAGTTGCAGCATAAGTATACTGGAACTCCAGTATATTATAATGGAGTTCCAGCATAAGTATACTGGAAGTTCATACACAGGTGCTCCAATCTCCAGTATTATGCTGGAATTTTCCGCATGTTGGAGTTCCAGCATAATATGCTGGAAGTTCATACACAGGTGCACCGATCTCCAGTATATTATGCTGGACCGAACCCTGTTGCAGCAAAATATTGGCTATTTTTCAATGACTTTGCAAACACTGGCTATTTTTGAATGACCAGTCCGAAAACTGGCTAGCCCGTGCTATTTTAACCTTTTAGTAAGTGTTCGCATAATATGTGCGTTGAAATTAAAAATAGAGTAGTTGAAATCAGCGTCCAATAAAAATTTGCAAAAATTGATGCAGTGAATACATGCAATTTTATATTAATTATTTATTATGTTACAGTCTATGTATTATGGAGAAAATGGTGAAATTTGCCTTACACTATTCAAAAATTGAGCAATTTTACCTTCGGTTAAACTTTTGATCTAATATTATCCTTGTTAAAGAAAAAAAGTTTCATTTTTTGCTCGACCCCTTGCCTCCAAGATGAGCCAAAGGTTGAGGGGCAAATTTGAACTTTTTTCTCAAAAAATTTGGAAACATGGAGTAAAAGGCAAGGGCAAATACGAGACGATTTGCTAATGACAAAGATATAAATAGACCAAAAAGGTAATGTATGACAAAATTTAAGAAATTCGGAAATTTTGGACCTTTTCCTTTTTTAACCTGTTTGTAAACCAATAACTGTTTATGATAGATTAATTTGAAGTATTATTATGTAATAAAAATTTGAAATGAAACTATGAAAGCCTTTGAAGCTTGATCCTTATATATCAAGTTATTATAACACTATAGTGTCCGGTATAAGATTTATACTCTAAGTTATATTTTTATCATGTTCATTGTATTATCTTAAATCCGTAATGAATTTTTCAAATATAAGGGTTTTAAAGCCTTTGGAATTTATTCAAACACCCTTTTTATAAGATTATTTTTTTGTTTTATATTTTTACTTTATATTAATATAAATTACGATAATTATACAAAATACAAACAAAAAAAAATTAACCCGGCCCGGCCCCTTAGACCCGAAACCATTCCGGTTCAATATTTAACCGGATGGGCCCGGACCCGTTAAACCCGGTATGGAAAAACCGGTAACCAGCCTGGATTAGTGACCGGCCGGTCACTTTTTTTCTCGACTCGGACCGGCCCGGCCCACCCCTTTGACACCTTTAGTTCTCTCTAAACAATGTTTAATATGGCTTTCACTTTCAACGATATGTTTGTAAATAGAATCTGGTGTATAGTATATATGGAAGAGTAGCTTAAACGACTCCCTTTTCAAGGTTTGCGTCTTTGAAACACAAAAAAGGAACCTCTGGAGCCCTTTCCCAACCTGATCTTCTCGTCAATGTATGTGATCTCTAATTTAACTTCACTCTCGCCACCATACTGGAAATCTAGTGCCCCTACCTTGAGTTCAGGCGGCTCGAAAACAACTTGTATCCATTTTTCATCTAGGACGTTCAATTTTCCTGCATGACAAAGCTGATGGTTAGAAAAATCCCAGATTAGAATGGTAAAAGAACCAGACACACGTCATGAACTAGTCTAGACCATGACCTGAGGTATCAAACTCTGTCTTGGGCATGAATTAAATTACATATCATAAGCAAGTACCTTGCTATATTGATACTAAATCAAAGAAATCGTTATGGTAGCAATTGATTATCACTACTTTGCTACCTACCACAGAAAATAGGCCCCGTTTGTTCATGAGACTAAGAGAAAGCAAATTGCATATATAACTAAAAGTAGAACATAATAGAAGCAAATGATTCACTTAGGCGATGCCAACTAGTTGGTACTAAGGCTTAGTTGTTGTGATAAACCTCGGGTTCATATTTGCACTGATTTTTCTTTCAATTTTTTTTTTGGTTTGCTTAAAGAATCAGTGCTAGCGTACGAACAAGTCTGAGATTTAGAGAACCCATAGTTTGCCTTAGAAAGACCAAGTATTATGTATGTCTTGAAATAAAATGGACCAGGATGGATATAGAGGATTCATATAGTCACCTTCAAGTAGTTTGCTATTAAGGCTTATTAGATCGATTGATTGATTGACTAGATTAGAGCCATGTGGTGTAATGCAGGAAATGGTAAACAGATGAAATTGCTGGTAGAAACATTTTGAGTGCCGGTGGGGAGAAGGTACTTCACTGATCCCATAGCTTTCATATTTTTTTGGGGATAAACGTGGTGTTCGGTTACCTCAATTAATTCTACAGGACATCTGCTATCTCCCACTAGCAACAAGTACCAGGTAACTTTGTCCACGAAAGCCTGGACAGATGGGAAGAAATTACCTAGTATTTTTTGCCTCCGCTAGATTTGAACCTGAGACGGTATGGTTCTCAACCCACTTCATTGACCACTAGGCCACACTCTTAAGTGCCTATTTACAACATTCTTATTTAGGGGTCCTTTGGTAGGGTGTATTAGAATAATGCTGAATAAGGTGTATTAGTAATGCATGGGTTAGTAATACAAGCATTAGTTATGCAGTGATTATTTCTTATCTATTGTTTGGTGTGGTGTATTAAAAATTAAAATGTATTGCATAATTTTTAAGAAAATTGTTTGTTTACAAAAACACCCTCCATATTCTTTAGCTTTAAGAAACTTTAAGGATAATTTTGTCTTTAACCATGTTAATGCATGCATTGATAGCCTTTGTATTGCTAATACTATGGTTTGCTATGCATTAGCTATACATAGGATAATACCAAATAGGGTGTATAACTAATGCTTGTATTAGTTATACATAGGTTGAAAAAGTGTACCAAACAAGGTATTACTAATACACAAAGCTAATGCATGCATTATTTTCTCTAATACATTCTACCAAACGACCTCCTAGGGACTTCATATAACAGATTGAGAACAAAAAGGACAAATAACTTAGAAGCCATAAACAGTGAGATGTCTGTATATTTCTTAGAAAATATGCAAATTACAAGCAATGCGTCAACTGAGTCTGAGTGTCCACGTTGTTATGTTTGGCATTTGATTCAGCAAGTCACAAATGCAGCAAGTCACACTTACCATATAAACACACCGACATTTCTACTCCTCTATAAAGGACAAAAGAACTTTTAAGAAGAGATAAATTTGAAAGATAGGATATGTTTTCGTACCTTTTAAGGAAACCTCCCCATCAAGGAAACCAAAAAGTGAAAAGGACACTCTGTTCCTGACAATGTCAGGGGCTTCAACAACCTGAATCATTTCCTTTGTTTTGAAGAAAAGGCGACCAAACGCACTCCGATAGCCACCCCCAGGTGAAGTGGGATTTGAGCAGTACACTACATCCCATTCTGCAAGGAATTCATTATTAGTTGCAGTTTAGAAGCTGATTTGCTATAAGACATGGTTAGAATAACTACGGCATTTATGCACGAAACTGCTAGAATTGCACTTCAGGAAACCAGAGAAGTAACTAACATCTTTTGTCAGCAGAACAACTTATAGTTCAGTGCAAAAAGAGCACGCACACAAGCGCGCGCGCACATATACACACACAAACTCATATTTTATTAGGTAAGTATTTATTACCAAAGCAGGAATATATACAGCTCAAAAAAAAAAAGTAAATCTGCAGTTTGGACATAAAGCCCCAAACATAGAGCAGCAAAACTATCTACTGAACCTCCCAACCACAGTATCTAAATTCATGGGTTGAAATTGAGCCTGTCTAATTCCTTCTACATCTTACTTCTCATGAGACCTCTTGCATACACCTCTTGAATCACTATTCTAATAATCATCTCAGGCCTTCTCTGTAATCACAAAACATGATAATCACACAAGGGGTGTCCAAATTTTCAAAAAGAAGTTATTTTACTTATCAAACAAAACATTTGATGCTCTGTGTAAATAGGCAACATGATCATCCAACTTCCTTAACTGGTGCTAGATTGCCGATGTTTTCAAGTTAGCGAACATATAACTGCAGAGGTTATTCACTATTTTGGTACATTTTGTTCTGTGGTATACAAAATCATGCATTATAACACAGTATTTCGTCAGCGATCATATTCTGCAGACTTATTAAGTGAAAAATCTGGATCATCTGCTGAGTATGTTAATTTGCATGCACAAACTGCTCTAAACAAAACAGAAGGAATTGGCAGGAACTTGTTCAAAAGAATGGCGCACTCGATGATTAACAAGAAATAGAGATACTGTACTTATGAGGAAAAATAACTAGGCCAGACATACTAGGTTAACAAAGAAAATTACTTCTGATAATTAATATATGTCCAAAGAGGGGAAATAGGAAAAAGATCACGAAGATATTAATCTGCAAGGGCACATAGAGAGTTTAATGGAACTCTGTTTCTACTAAAAAAATAACACTAAAGTTTACCTCCGAATATTAGAGGGCATTTCACAGGTTCATCCACACAGAAACGTTGCAATTCTTGAGCCACTTCGGCTACCCTTTTGTGCTCATCCCTTGTCAGGGAAACCCCTCGATCTGTTTGCATAACCTGGTTAAGTGATGATGCTCAGTTGATGTTACTAAGACTTCCAAAACAGAAGTACTCAGAATGCAATTATTCAGTTGACAAACTGCTTCTATATAAGGCATTTTCCTGTGGTTGGGTAAGGATGATCTAGTGTTTTCCTCTTAACTTGAGATGTTAGTTTCACCACTTTATGAAGCAGCAATTCAGTTAGTCTCTTAAGAGTGTTTGTCATGATCTCCCCAAAAATTTTGGCAAGCAATTTACAATCTATAAGGACAATTGGCAATTTTACCAAACTATTTGAGGCTCAAAACTAAGCACTGATGTTAAATTAGTTGAGCCTATGTAATGCACATATAGAGGTTTTATATTGCTTCTATTTTTCATTTGGGTTCTTTCTGAATTATAGAGTATAAGTTGTTTTACCAAAGTGCACAGCAAAGTGCCAAGATAGGCCAAGGTTGTGCTGAATCTTAGTACACTTGGCTACCTAACCAGAGGCGGAGCAATGATTTGAAGCTTGTGGATTCGGGATTCTAGTCTTTCTATTACTCGGTTCTAAACTAATAATATATGCAATGGATTTCTTAAGACAAATACAGGGTTTGGAACAAAGCTACTAGTTTCGGTCGAACCCATAAGTTGTACCCTACCTCCGCCTTTCTACCTAAATTCGAAACAATCAAATGTGACAAATTGATTACAATTTCTCATTAATATCCAAATTTATAAAATTAGAATTACCGCCAAACAGGCTATCATTTGCTGCGATTATCCTAAATGAAAGGCACTTAAAACACCATAAGAAAAGCAAAAAAAAAAAAAAAAGAATTAAGAAAAAGCTACTCCATTTAGCATAAAGAACAAACGACCATGTTTTTCAGTTTTTGCAAAAGCTGAATTTTTTTCATTATTTCTTCATTTTTCCTATTTTCTTCGAAATATGCGTCTGCATATAAATCCCAATAGATGTACCTTGGAAAGAATAGATCCGACGAGTTCATCAGGCTTAGTCACCGGCGCCGGCGAAGTGGAAACGGAAGCATAAATTGGCGAAAACTGTTTCGACGTCCCGCGACGGTTAGAGCGATTTTGAGGAAAGTTAAGTGCTAGCTGAGAACTTAAGTGAGCAGCTGAAAAGGAGCTACGGCGAGGACTTCTGATGAAAGCAGTGGTGGTGGCGCCGCCGCCGGCGATGACGTAAGTGGCCATGGGGTTTTGGCATTCCGAAGTGACTCAATGGAGAACTTGTTTTAGTTGGTGTTTTTTCTGAGCCAAACACGTGGATTCTCGAAATCGGATGCGGGACCAGTTGGATATGGTTGTAACAAGTTAGTGGTTGCCATTTGGAATGATGATTTTTAGTAATACTAATTTCTATATATGTGCGTTGCACGTAATAATCTCGTATTAATCACTAAAGGGCATGTAAAATCTAAAATTATCATGCATACAACATATATAAAATAAACTCAAATAATAAGAAACATGAGACATAGTTCCTTCAATTGAAAGATGTTTGAAATCAAACGATGCTTTTCAAGAATTGGAATCAATAATTAGGAAGTTAACAACTAAATATGCCTAAAGGATGATTTAGAATAAATTAATGGACTTTTCCGAAGATACATACCGATAGTGTGAAAGTATATATGAATTAAACAACATCAAGTATCTGTGTCCCCATTGAAAAGCAGCTCAATGAGAAAATAAACCAACAAAAAACCAACATCTCAAAGTGAGTATAATAAAATATTTCTTTGCAAATTCATTTTATCAGCTATACAAATAAAAGTTGTCAAAAAGTTCAAAATAAGTTGGCTGTTTTTTCTATTCATTCCCTTAAAATAAAATTTACGGCATTTACCCTACTTCTATTTTTAATAAACATAAAGTTTTGAAATATTCGAAAAAAAAGAGTAGAAACTCATGGTTCACGGTAAACCTAGGAGTCTTCTCTTGTCATGCTACTTCATTCTACTATTTTAGTCTTTTCTCCAAAAAAATTTTCTAAAAGTATCATCAATTCTTATAAGAACTCAATTTTAACTCAATTATTTTACTATTTGAATCGGTATTTCCTACTGGTTCTACAATTCTACTTGCGTAAGAACACTTTAAAGTGCCTCTTATCCTAATTTAACTATAAATTTATATACTTGATAATTATCATCTAACTTTCACTAATGCGATATTAAACATCACTAATTGAGTAGCATGACAAATATACTCCAAGAACTCATCAAGCTAATCCCTTCATCAATTCCACTTGGACAAGAATAGTACTTCAATATATATTATGGACCTTGAGAATTTTAGTTATTAGTTATCATTGAAGTTAATGCACTTTTTTCATTTGTCTTCTCTCTTTCTTGCCAAAATTCTGGATATTTAGGTTGGTTTAATAATTTTTTAAAGAGATAATTTCATGTTGATTAACTTATACTCAAAATTAAAGGGAATAGATAGATATAGATAATTGTTATAAGTATACAAATTTATAATGAGGGAAGGGGAAAAGGAATTAGTGTTTCCTTCTTTTAAACATTCATTAGATTATTTTTTTATGCTTAAAATCTATTAATTTTATGTACATGCAAATTTAATATCTTATTAATAAAAAATTAGGAGAAATCTAAAATACTCGATTACTTTGATGCCCCAACGAGAAACCGCGAGAACCATCCGCTACTTGTTTTCTTTTGCAGATATTTGCTAACTTTATGGTTAATTGGTTATAGCTTATATTCTTTTGGAAAGAAATATGTATATCAATTAAATATGATTTATAACAAAAAAGAAAAAACTTCACATAATATCTATTTACAAAATCATATATGTATTTTCTATTGAAATATGAATCACGTTGGGCGATATTAATACTTATATATTAACCATGCAAAGAATATTAGATTGTTTGCATTAACATATACATACTTCTAGGATGAAAAATAAAATAATTTTTTTAATGCATATACACTAAAGATCATCTTATCTTGGTAAGAAAAATATCATTGATGGCTCTGGCTGTTGTACAACCAGCAATAGTTGTCATGAGATATTTCTTATATTTTTGTAGTGCCAATAGTTCCATTTGACTCTACCTTCAGCTTTTCATCATCCATGAAAGAAATATATTTCTTGCGATTATTATTATACATGAAAATTCAGCTTATGCGTTAAAACGTTTCTACAACATGAAATATTCCATACTTCATATTTATAAGAGAAGGAAATTGGAATTGGAAGTCTATGCAAAGTCATGATTCTATTGCACAATGTTAAATTGTCCAAGTGGATAATACTTTTAGTAGTTAACTTCAAAATTCTAAATATTAGATCAATCCCTAAAAAGTATAGTTTGATATTCTTGAAATAAAAATAAGCAAATTGAATTCCAATTAGGTATTTATTTATGGGATAGCTTAGTGATTCACCCGTCAAAGAAATTTTGATTTGTGTCAACTTCCTCCAAGAAGAACGTGTATAAGATATTTACTTGTTCTAAATGTAATATTTTAAAGAATTTTTTCCTAAAACTAAATAGGAATCAAATAGGAATTTTTAAGGTGTATCCAAAAAGTAATAGGATTACATGACTAAAAATATTTACTTGTTCAATTTTATATGAATTAGACATACGGAAGTAATTATACTAATAGGATCCTTAAAGGTAATCATGTAGGATTCCTAACGTGTAGTATTATGTCCTAAAACTAATAGGATTATAAGACTAATATCTAGAATTCCGGTTATGTCCCTTTATTATGAGTTATTATGCTTAATATTATAAGGTATTTTTGTAAACCGACAGTGTATTCATGCTTTTATAATAATACTAGTCTCTATGTTCGTGCGTTGCACGAAATTCTCCTACTATATAAAGAGGAAGCTTTTCTTTAGTCTAACACATGGTAACACGCAATTCAAAGCAATACAAGTTTACTTTTGTCTTCTAGTTACTGTTCAAGATATTACTCATTTGTTCTTTTCTTCACCCGCGACCGAGCTTGTACCTAGGGTCCAATCTGGACAAGTTCCAGTGTTCAATTTAAGATCAGACTTGGTGATTATATTGCGATTGATTTGATCGTTTATTTTGTCTTTAATTCATCCATTTGTTATACTTAATTATTCGTATTGAATTAAACCACATATCCTTTAAACCGCGTATAAATTATAAACTTTCACTAGCGTATATATTTGAAAACTACTTGTTACTAATGTGTGAATTTCATAATGGATTAGAACAAAAAATGAAGAATATATGAAAGTCATTCAATATTTGGATTAGAAGGATATGTTTAAGACTGCCTCTGATTTTGAAGCCGAAAAAATAGGCTGCTACTTATATGTTCTCCACTTTTAAACTTACTCTAATTTTTGTTGTCTTTTAGATATTCTTTCGTGTGTTTAAATAAGGAGTTAGGATGGCATTGGTTACGTTATGTTATGGCTTGTGATTTTTTTTTCCTGTGATATTTAAGAAGTTCTATTATTAGTTGGTAAAAAACTCCTATATTTTAGGCACTATAGCGCAATTCACGTTATTTTATGGTTTTAAAATTTCTAGTATTAGTTGGTATCAAACTCCTATATTTTAGGCGCTAAATATTACATTTTTATCCCATATTCTATATTTTTTTGATGAAATAATTCAATTGTAAAGGGTATAAAAGTCGGTCAATATTTCAAGGATATTTTTGTCGTTCAACATTTAGCGTTTTGACATTCGTGCTTTTATAATAATATAGATAGATATAGATTAAATAAAGAAACTAGACTTTCATGTAGTAGCCTTTATAATCCGTCGAAAAAAGAATGAAATTTATCTAAATTCAAAATAATTTAACTTAGACTTTTTAATTTTAGTCGAGAAGTTTTTATAGTCATTAAATAGTATGTTATGTTTTTAACATGTAAGTTTTTTTAATAAAGGTAGTGTTCGGGCCAGTTTGCGATTAGAAGAAATAACCTATTTTTTTTGTTGAGATTTGAATCTATGACATCTTGTTTTCAACTCACTTCATTGACTACTATATCACATTCTTGGGTGATGTTTACATAATTTTCAAAAGCCTTATAAACACACAAATATTACCAAATATTTGAGACCAAAAATTCAAAAGTCTTTATTTCTTTCTTACATTCCGTATCCGAACTATATTTTTCAGCAATTTTTGTTCGAGAAGTCTCTGATAACGAGTGATTTCCCCTTGCATGGATCTCACGTGGTATGGTTCTGCATTAGTCTGGCCAGTGAGTTAGGGTTATTAATTTTTCTTAACTGAAAAATTGATATTATTTTCATCTCTCATTTTTTTGATGCACAAAAATGTCATATTGCTGAACTCTGATTCGACTTCTAACCATGAACTACTTACTTTAAATGCACAAGCTAAATTACTTAAGTATGTACCATCTTTAGTTTCTTGCCATCATATAATTTTACAACAAATGCTTTGGATAACAATTACTTCAAAAACTCAATTTATCTATCTATAATTAAAAGCAGAAGACAAAAGCCCCTCATGAAGCCAAGTGGCAAAATCCGAAAAAGACACTTGGCACATTAAGACATTACTCCAAATTATTAGGAAGTAGAAATAGGAATTATAATTTTATTTTTATTAGGAAGTACAATTTTTTTTTATTAGGATTCAAAACCGTAACTTCTAAACCGTTCCAACTTCTCTTCAATTTTGTGATTTTTTAATTTCTTTAAATTATTAAATCATTTTATTTGTTAAAATGAGATGGCTTACTCAAAAATAGGAGTAGCCTTCAAAACCGTTCGAACTTCTCCTCAATTTCCTGATTTTTTTTTTAAATTATTAAATAATTTTATTTGTTAAAACCTTTTACTCCACATTATTAGGTAATAATTTTTTACCTTCAACTTACCCTAAATTTTCTCTGCAAAAGCACGATAGTTTCAACTGTGTAACCCACGATTTTGTATAATGGGTAGCAACTGTTCAAAACTGTAAATATATATTTCTTCCACAACTACACGTTCTTCAATTCTAATGTTCCTTCTTCTATCAAGATTTCAAGAAAACTTACGTCTTATACAAAAGATGGCTACTCACATGATTTCATCAAGGATATAACAATTTCGAAGATGCAATGGAAGTTGAAAGTTCGTGTTGTCCGTTTGTGGGAAGTACCGGATCGTTTTAATCCAGGCACCATATTCTCGATTGAATTGGTTCTACAAGATGAAAAGGTATTTTAAATATGTTTTTACCTTGCTAATTCGGTTTGGTTTTCGGAATTGTTATATGATTATTGATAGATTTGTTTTGCTCCTCGAAATTGTTGTATGATTATATCATACAACTAATTGTTCCAAATAACTTATCTGATTAATTTTGTTCTGCTTATTAGTTGTTCTCTCTGTTTCTCAACTTGCAAATCTAAATCAATAATTATGTATCTTTGACTTACAAATTCGTTCAAATATATTGTTGAAAGGTAGAAACTAAATGTTTTGAACAAATGATTCGTTCAAATATATTCGTTCAAAGCACTAATAGCACCCTCTGAATTTTCATCAAATAATAAGCCATAGAAACATCTTCATCACCTGCAAAAAAGAAAAAGTTGTTACTAAAAAATAGATCCATCTTTTATAAGTGCACATATCTTATTTTGTCCGATGCTGATTTGCTTTGTGAATTATGATCATTTTCTGGTGTAGCTATAAGATAAAAGAACGAAGAAAGTTAATAGTGACAAAAACATACTTGCGGATCTCATATTTTACCATGAAAACTTTTGGACAGCCACTATTTCTTTTGGAGATCTCATTACTTTATTCTTTTGCCAATATTCTTAGCATTTTCAATACTATAATTCTCACCTAAGAGAGATATAAATTCAGCATAGTTTCCACAAAAAGAGCAAACTATGCAAACAAGCAGTATACAAAATTCAGAAATTGAGCTTTTGTTCTAACAATTTCAAGCCAATCAAGATGAAACGACAATGTTATATGTGGTAAGTTCCAAAATACATTTAGGCATGGTGTGTTTGATTATGTTCCAAAGAAGACAATGTTAGCTCTAATAAAATATTGGTTAATATAATAAATAATATATTCAACAAAAAATTATTCGCTAACTATATAAGTACCTTTGATTTAATAGAGATTTCATTATTGGGTAGATCGTATTCACACGTAATATAAGAAATGTTCCTTATTAAACCAACAATTGCAGGGGCTTCAAGAATTAATGGTGCTGATGTGAATGCAAGCAGATTTGAGCTAGGTAAAATATCCAAATTTATGGGCTCTTACGTGAACATTACAATTTTCAAATTTACTATCTATTGACCTTTATTTCTGTCGTTCGTCATCCTCCTGTCAAAAAATTTTAGTGTTACATAATTTGTGAACCCAAAGGACTATAACAAACCAGTTTAATAGGTGCTCATATATGCTTCTATATCCTAATTTATCAGTTTATATTAGCAAAAAATTGAGTGAACGGACAAATGGGCATAAAACTCTACTTAAGAGGCAGAAAATTGCTTTTATAGCAGTCCTATTGATATCCATTGGGTGATGGAAGAGAGAATTAAAGAATTGTGTGGTTCTGAACATGATGTTAGTCATCATGCAATAATGTAGATAAATGTTTTAGCCTTTTGGGTCTTTATTTTTTTAGTAAGTCTTTGAATATTGAATTGTTTATGCATCAACTTGGCATAATAGGAAGTTGCACCTACTAAACAAAAAATAGTGAAAAGTGATGTAGATTAAAAAATGAGATATGGCATTTCAATGTGGGTCATTTATATGAAGAAGATTATGGCATGCCGAGAATATAACTTTTTTTAGGCTACAGATTTATGGAACTTATTAGTTCCTATATCCAATTAGAATTCTGTTTGATATATGACATAAAAATCACATATAGAAAAATTATTTGCAGCGAGTAATTCTTCAAGTTTCTTGAAATACTAATCTCCAAGTTGAGCCAAATTTTACTTGCTACTAAACTATAAATGTGATTTCATAATGTCTTTCTCTCTGTATCAACTGGGGATGGGCGGTTGATTTGGTATATTATTGATGAAGCTATATATAGTTTTCATGTTGAACTCACATGGAAAAATAAAGCAAATAAATGTAATTTTATTTAATTTTTGATTGCTTTCGGCTTTTTCTCGGGCTTCGAGTTCTAAAAACTGAAATTAATCCAAGGAAGCATGTAGTTTGTAGTGGAAATCACATAATTATAGTAAGTTAAGTTAAATTTGAATCTCATTGCACATAACAAAAGATCTTACGGCAATTTAGGCTACATAAAATAATTTTTCCTACCTTACTTGCCTTATTATAAACTTTCGTCGATCAAATGGTTTAAATTTTACGATTGATCAAGTTATAAAAATATGAGGTGGTTAAGCAAGTAATTTAATAATTTATTATATTTTTTCTCCCTATTTTTCGCGCATCGCGCGGGTACTATACTAGTTTATATATAAAAGGAGAGGCAAAGAAAGGTTATGATGACAAGTGGCATAACATTAAATTGATATGTATAAATCTTTGGACAATTCTCCAACTTTGTTGGAGTTCGAAATTTTATTTTTTAAAAATTATTTAATGCCCGGTAGTTATTTCGAATTTTTTTAATTTAGAAAAGGCAAAAACTTAACTTCAAACCAGGCAGTTAATTTCTGCCAATTCCAAAACTTTCATTTTGATTTTTTTTAAAAGGTAAAAACTTCAAACATGGCAGTTCATACTTATTGTAAAATTGTTTAAATCACGTTTCTGCCAATTCCAAAAGTTTTATTTTAAACTTTATTTATATTCTTCATACTTATTACTCTTTATACATACACACACACACACATATATATATATATATATATATATATATATATATATATATATATATATATATATATATATATATGAAAAAAGGAAAGAAAAAAAAATAAAACACCCCAAAATTAAACCACACGGATATATAATTCCCAAACGTGGGATTGACATTACAATCCTATTCTACCACGTTCTCCACTTCTCCTACGCAGTTCTCTCTTTACTATGCTCTACAAATTTTGAAGGATGGCTTCACCAGTATATCAAATCTTTCTGATATATTGGAAGATGCAATTTCAAAAGTCTCAACTCCCGTGGATTTTATGATCATTCTTCTTCTATTTGGTAGATCTGCTTAGATGTAAATATGGAAGGAATCTCCATGGGCCAGCAAAAAACACTCTCAAGCATAGAGATCAATGTTAGTGAGGAACGAAAAACTATTCTATGGCGAGTATTGTTTATGTCAAAGATAGTAATGTTTATTCGATATTTTTCACTCTGCTTGTGTACATTCAATTTTCTGAACTTATTTTTCTTTTTTAAGTCCAAGTATGACAGTGTGAAGGTTTATAATTCTATGATTAGAAGATATTCTTTTTCTTAAGACAAAATTATACTCTCTCCATTCCAGTTTATGTGAACCTATTTCCTTTTGTGTCCGTTCCAAAAAGAATGACCCCTTTCAAAATTTGAAAATAATTTAGCTTAAACTTCCAATTCTACCCTTAATGAGAAGCTTTTAAACCACATAAATACTCTAGACCTCTTTTTGACTTATTTAGGACCACAAATTAAAAAATATTTATTTTTTCTTAAACTCCGTGCCCAATCAAACATGTTCACATAAATTGGAACGGAGGGAGTAATTATTATGATGATTCCATAATGATGAAGATGAATTTCACTGACCGTAAAATATTGATAGTTAAGTAATTTGAAGTAACACATTCACAATTTACTCCAAATATCATAGAGGAGGAAGCTGGACGAGAATTAATTTTTGAAGTCTGATAAAAGACCAGAAAATTTCTAAAGTAGAATGCCAGAAAAATAGAGTTAGTAGGCGTTTGGCCTATCTTGAGTTTTTTCCTTTATTAACTCAGTCTCTATCTTGAGTGGTAAATTCTATAGAGGCTCTATTCATATGTAAATTAGTCAAGTTGCGAATGCTTAAAGGTCTTGGTGCAACTCTGAATGTTGCCAAAATAACAAATGGCTCAATTTTAGCTGCTTTTGGATTAGGAATTGTAGGCGTTGTTGTAAGGCTTCCTATTGCTAATGACAATTCCTCCTATCTATTTGAATATATTATCTCCAAAATAAGTGTTGAAGTACTAAATTGGTTGCATCCCAATTTAACAGGCCGCAGAAGAAACAAGCGTTGAAGGTTCTTCAAGAATTATTGGTGGTGATTTGAATACTAGCAATTTGAGCTAGGTGAAATATCTAAATTTGTGTGCTCTTACTTGAACATTAGAATTTTCAATTTTTCTATCTATTGACCTTTGTTTCAATCCTTAGTCATCCTCTTATTTAAAAAATAAAATTACACCTATTCTTCTGCGGCAAAAAAATTTGGTGTGACATAATTTGTGAACCCAAAGGACTATAACAAACCAGTACAAGAGGTACTCATATATGCTTCTATCTCCTAATGTATCCGTTTATATTAGAAAAACAAGACAGACTAGATCTCATCATCCTCCAAGTCGTTCCCTTTGATGGCGCATGTGTAGGAGGTAACATGCTCGTTTAGGTCGGTCGTTCCGTTGTACTTAGGAATCTCGTGCATGCGGAATTTTTTAGGGATTTGCTTTAGAGCCGCACTCGGAGGGAAAGGTTTTTGCACGAACTTCTTGGAATCCAGGCCTTTCAGTATCGGCGGTGCTCCCGGGATTCGATTGACCCTGGAATTATAGGTTTTTACCTTTTTGTCATTTACTTCGATTTTCTTCTCCCCTGATTCTATCCATTTTGTCAACTCCTCAAGCATTTTTATGATCTCGGGGTTAGTCCCCGATTCGTTTTCATTCAACCTCTCTGCGACTGGTTCTTCCCTGCGGGTGACTTCCCGGGATGGATCAGGTTCAATTCTGCTCGGTGCGCAGCTTTGGTTCTGTAACTGGGCTATCACCGCCTGTTGAGTCTGTAATATTTTGAAGATCATCCGTAGATTGATCTTGTATCCTCCATTGTTTTGAGTATTTTGCACTGCCGATCGGGCTCCACCACGGATGCTATTCTCGGGGTCGATAGGCAGGTTTGTGTCGATAGCCACATGCGAGTTAGCATCCAACGGGTCCGCGATTGGAATTTCGATGGGATCAACGGGCGGTACCTCGTTACCGGGTGCTATGTTGTTATTTTCACCATGATGACCGAGCTCATTGTCAACAGGTAGGGGTGCTAATTGTGAGTTGACATTTTGAGCTTTAACCTGAAATTAGAGGTACTTCAATGAACAAGTGTAAAGTAGTGTGTTACGGAAATTTGTATCAAATAACCATTATTATCCTTAGCCCCACGGTGGGCACCAAACTGTTTACCCTCAAAATCGGATAACAATTGAATTTGTAAGTGGTTTTAAGGATACGTGGATCAAATTGACACAAAGCGATATATTAAATTGCATTTGAAATAAACAGTGATAAATTAAATTCAGACCGCGCAAATTGAAACGTTACGACCTTGGGGGATTAGCCACCCTTGAACAGGATGCACTTTGATCGGTATCAGGACACATTTGAATAAGATCTTAAAGAGAAAAATAACAATGTATTGCTTCTAAGTGCGTGTTACAATGTGTTTTACATGTAATCAGACCCCCCTTTATATAGTAGGGGAGTCCTATATTAGGTACAACTCTATAAAAGGTCAAAATCTCCTAATTAACTGATTGCTGATCTCACGTCGACATATGCCGAGATCTCCACCATGATATTCGGTCGGTTACGGATATCTCGGCCTTCTGTTGGCCGAGCCTAACTACCTGACAACGTTCTTCGAAGTTAATCAAGGCCAGGACCGATCTGAATCATGTCCCCGATACCCTCGAAGGCGGAAGTTATGGTCCGGACTCAGAATCGATGAGATCCCTACCTCGATCTAGGCCCCTGGTTACCATATCTCAAGCTTGGCCTAACATGTGAGAGACCGGCTTGTACTACGAGACCGGTTTTGCCCATATACAATACATACATATACATATATATATATACATATACATATATATATATACATATATATATATATATATATATATATATATATATATTGTATATATATATAATGAAAATATTAAAATTTTATATATTAAATTCCTTTAATGAAAATATTCCTTTTAAATCTTTTTTGTTTAAACTTTAAAAAAAAAAAGAAGAGGAGGGTGGGTATAAAAGGAATTCAAAAAAGCAAAGCATATATCCTCTCCTCTCATGCTTTTGCCGCGTACACATGAATTTCATCACAGATTGTTGCTTTTTATTCTTTAGGTACTAGCGTATACTTACTCGCGCGATGCGCGGATTAGTTCAAAGGGAAAAAGAGCGGAGAGAGTGAATAGAAAAAAAGGGTATATAATGCATTAAGCCACGGGAAGAACCAAAGTCCTCTCATTGCATCAATTAAAAAAGCGTATTTATTTTTTCCTTTGAGAGTAAGTTTCGAACATTTAGGCATAATCTTTTCTTCCAATTTCTTTTATAATAATATATTCGCATAGACGCTCCCAGATCATATGTCGTCGTCTAATATTCTTGACTTGCATAAAACTAACAGTACCATACCTTGACTTGCATAAAAGTACAGTACCATAATGATTCTTGAAAAATTACATGGAGAAAATTCACTCGTTCTTTTTTGGTTCTTTTGCTTAAGTGAAAGAAAAACTTCCTAGTTTCTCTACCATATCCTTAATGCAATTTATTTAAAGTTTTAAATACACATATATGCTACTTATTGTTACTACTGAATATAAACCTTGAATTCTAATACATCAAGTTTTTTTAGTGTATCTTTCGAAGAATCCGGGTTTGACCAGATCTAAAATTTATTATCAAATATATCTATCCACATATATAAGTAAAATAATATGTCATCTTAAAGGACAAATTAAAAGTGAGCATGTACTACCTCGCATTCCTTCTCTTCATCTACGCCTGAATACTATTGAAGTCAGGATCTAACAAATATAAAAAAAATTATTGAGTTTCGAAAAAGCTGCAACTTAACTAATGTTTTTGCTATTGATTATCCCATGAATATGCACATAGAAATTAAAAAAAATACACGAAGAGCAAATCAAAAATTCAGATTTGAAAATTAAAAAAACGATAGAAGCAAACGTGGATATATGTTATAGTATATCACTGAGAAACATATTTGAGGATACAATATGTTTGGTGCATAAATTCTTCATCGAGTTTTGGTACTGATTATCCCATATGAACACACACATGCAAATTTAAGACAGAGTTTACAAAAAAAATTTTTAATTACCATTTTCATCTTATAGAACCTATTCAAGTTCGAGAAAGTAGCGTCTAAATTGTAACGATCTGGTTTCTTCAAAATATGCATTATTGAGTTTTTTTTTTTGTTAATTGATCAATTTTTGCAGAAATCGTTGGTTTCTTGAATTTTTCTATAGCAGTGGAAGATTTGAATTTAAGAACACTATCAATCGGAGAAATAGAAGTTGGGGCGGCAGTTTGGTTTTGTGAGTTCATTGTGCGTATGTTTCATGAGTTATGCGCTGGATTGAGCAAACTGTCCATTATCCTTAGAATTGGGTTTTGTAGATAAAATTAGATTTAAAAATACATCACACATTTTAAAGAAAAATTACACAAACCCCCACCGTTTTGTATAAAAAACAAAAAAGTGAAAGAGGAAAGGAGAAGAAATGAACAAGTATAACAAATGCGAAGATTAATTACTCCACCTGCAAAGTTTAAAGAGAATACGACTGGTATGAGATGCATAGTACAAGAAAAACACATCACGGTGCCCAATAAATCATATATGCCAATATGCAGTGAAAGAGTAAAACAGATAAACAAAGTGAAAGCCACCTGGATGACATAATTTATTTGAGGATGACAGGATAATATCAGTGAGTGTGGAGTTTTAAATACACAATGAAAGAATTCGGCCAAAAATTAAGGCAGTTATTTTCTAGACAATTTAAACAGCTTGTGGTAGTTATATAGAACTTCTCCAGTATTAGGTCTCTCCTTTTTAAAAAAAAAAAAAAAAACCTCCCTCCTCATTTTGTGAGTGTGGGTTATATATGATTCATGGTTGTGTGATTCGTGTGAGACGTGAGGGAGTTGGAGTCTTTTACGTGAGGGAGTGGGGAAGTTAAATATCTTTTTTGCTAAAGTTTATTGCTAAACTTTTGGAAAAGTTACGTGAACTTAACTGATTTGGAAAAGTGGGTTTAAAATATGTAACTTCTTTTGTTTTAATTTACAACAATTTTCTCATTTTAAAGTGAAAGAGTACGTATATTTTAAAATTAGTTAATGTGTTATAATTAAAGAAATATGAAATTTGAAATAAATAAAACTGAAATTTTGAATTAAATAAAGCTCTTTAAAAAAAGTTCGCTCTTTATGGTTCAAAGTTAAAGTGTAAAAAATGTATTTTTAAAATGTGCAACTTTTAATTTTTAATTTTTTAATAATAGTGTGAATCAGATTTATTTATTAAAAGTTAAAGATTAAAAAATATATATTTAAAATCAGTTAATTTTTTTAAAAAAAATAAAAGAATTTTTTATTTTGTTTTACAAAAAACAAAGAAACCTGAAATATAAAAATTATTTGACTACATTCTCGCAACGAACTAATGTTTAATCAATTAGTTTTTTAAAATTAATGAAATATGAAATATGAATTAAATAAAGCACTTTTTTTTTTAAATAAAAAATTACGGTCTTCATAGTTCAAAAGTAGATGATCAAATAATTTTTTTAAATGTATATTTTAAACTTAGTTAACTTTTAAGAAAAATAAAGCTGAAATTTTGAATTAAATAAAGTTGTGTTAATTTTTTCTTTAATATGTATGTTTTAAACTTAGTTAACTTTTTAAAAAAATAAAGCTGAAATTTTTGAATTAAAGAAAGTTGTATTAAAAAAAACGGCTCTTCATGGTTCAAAGTTAAAGAGTTAAAAAATATATTTTAAAATAAGTTAATTTGTTAAAAATAAAGAAATCTGAAATTGTGAACGATTTTTTTTTCCAAATAATTTTATAGCTCCTATTTTTTTGGAGGATTTTCCCCTATTTCTTTATTTAAAATTATTTCTATTTTAAATTATTTTTTAACCTCCAAGTTAGTTGGAGGTTTATCCTAAAAATGGACACATGTTCAATTATTATTTTGACACTTGGCATAATAATATGGATTTGCTTCTCCTATTCTATATTAATAGATATTAAGTAAAAGTCTATCATCCCTTTCTGGATTTCTCAAATATTTGATACGTAATTGTTGAGATGACTGGTGGCAAAGTGAAGGGTAAGTAAAGGAAGTA